AAGCACTGTGTAACTGCCTCGAGGGTGCTTGACCATTTTAACACAACGTGGTGCGATCATCCCCCTTGCGCGGAGTGAGTCTTCTCGACCCCGCACAACATGATCTACTCGACCACCAGTAAGGTTACCGCCAAAAAAAAACGGAGGTGAAAAAAAAAACGGTAACCTGGTCGCCGAGCTCACGAAGTGACTTGGCTTGCTTTACAACGTCGTTGCCAAGCGACGAAAACCCTATCCCGATGGCAAACACCGGGGGGGGCTATATGGGACGGGTATTTGGACGGGTCAGTCACGTGGAACAACCGGTCGGTGCGGGAAGATGAACCGAGTACATGAGACGAGACAGAAATGACGTGACAATGAAATAAACCTCAAAAAACGAAAAAACGGAACGCCCCATGAACGATACCGATAAAACCATACGGGTAAAACCACGGAGACATCCATGGTATCGGGATCGGGACCGTGCACTCCTGCAAACTGTTCTCAGGCACCTTTTACCTTGTTTTCGTCATTTCCCCTGCAGGTTGTTTTTGGTTTCGGTCCGATGTGAGCCTTTGGGAAAGTGTCTGCTTGCCGCCTATTTCACCTCCTATCCCAATGATTGTTTTGTGGCCCCACTGCTTCCTCCACCCTTTTCTTTTTCTTGCCCTTTTGTCCTTTTCGTTTCTTCCCCAGATGGCCTTCTCTCATCTCTGTGCAGTACCAAGGTTATATATTGACCCAGGGAATGTACCTCTCTGTCTCTCTCTCGCCCGTGATTTTGACTTCCAGCTTCATTTTTGCCCCACAGAGCGTGTGGTAGAGGGGAGCGGAGGGCCACAATCTATTGTTGATTTCAATTTGCTTGAGGATCACTATATTTAAGAATACCTTTTTCACGGCAAGTTAGCCCGTGACCACAGGAATCGACCGGTCAACTATTTGATCAGTATGGACAAGGTACCGGGTAGAGAAACTGGAACGGTTTTTTACGTGAAGGCAACAACAACAACAAACCTGAACCGGGGTTCCAAGCGCATGTTTGGCTTTGTGGTAGCCCCCCGGCACTGGTTGGAGGTCCCTCCCGCTAAACCTTAACCTTGACGCCCTGTGGTGTGCATATGATAACAACTGACCGTCTCGTGTCTCGCCTGCTCGAACTCCTTCCTAGAGCTCTCCCGCAGTATTTTTCCCCTGGCGATACAAATGTCGAAAACAACCGGGAAAATATCGAGGGAAAATACCATACGTGACTCGTCAGCAGCAGAGCAGGATGGCCAGCGATAGAGAGACGGATTCCATGGTATGCATGAACACGGGCACAGTTTCGTGGAAGAGCATGTGCACACTGATTTGGGGGGTAGGAAGACCGAATCGAGCACAGGTCAAGAGAACACATTAGTACCGTCGTGAGAGAATACATGTATGGTATTCGAGAGAGTATGTACAAATGTCGTACCATACCGTGGAATATTCGTCTCTCACTTGAGCGAGGTGGATCTTGTTGTCCTGGGCCCATGTATTTCCTCTGCGTTGCTTTGATTTTTAGAATCATGTTCGCCATTTTCGGGTAGTTAAATAGGCTGCGACCCAGAAGGCGTCCGCGTCAGTTGGACCAGTGAGGACAGTAGAAGGTACTAGCGCGGATACTACAAGGTACTGAACGGAGACCCGAACGGTTTTGTAACGTGAACACGATAACAGCAGCGACAAAACCAACGACCACAACAAGAACATATAGAACAACAACAACAACAACAACAACAACAACAACAACAACAACTGCATAATATTGGGACAAGGGAGCCCGACGGCAGCGCGATCGACGAAGGCAGCCTAAGGCCGCCCGAGCGATCAGACCGGAGCCGACGAAACCCAACCCAATGCCATCATGCCATCATGCCATCATGCCATCATGCAAACAGCGACGGCCCGACCGCTAATACGTTGAAGCCACGATCCGACAACAACGCCTACTGATCGCGGGAGCATTGGCAAGGCAGCGGGACGGGCGACTCCCGAAACGATTAATGCTCGGCGAACTGGCGGGGGGGGGGGGAAGCGCGGTAGGGGGNAGGGGGGGACAGAAACAGAACTGGCCGAAGTATGTGCTCGACGACCTGAAGGCATTCGGGGCCGACCACGGATCTGCGACAACCGATCCATGTTGCTTCGGAGTCCCAGTACCGAAAGACACGGCACCGAAATTGGAATGGACGGAAGTCGCCAAGGTGGAGGGGCGAGTGCCCTGGCATGCGGCGGTGCTGCAGGGAGCTGAGAGGTTCATGACCTCCTGGCACAAGAAGGAAGAAGAGGCCAGCCGACAACGGGCGCTCAAACGAAACCACAAGCCAACAACCAATGGGGCGGGAGGGGGGCAGGAGACGGACGAGACGGCGAGGGAAGAAAGCAAACGAGAAGAGACGGACCGAGTGGCGCAACACGTGCCGGATTGAATTTCTTTTAGCACATTCCCCCCCCTCAACGCTGTGAACACAGAAGGAAAAGTGTTCTGTAAGCTGCTGAACGATAGCATTGTTGTTGTTGTTGTTGTTGTTGTTGTTGTTGTTTTTCTTCACATTAAACTCGTTGTTGTTGTTGTTGTTGTTGTTTCTCACATTAGCTCTAAAAAAGAAAGATTGGGAGCCCGTGGTCTCAAAACCCGGCATACACGACCCCACGAAGAAACAGAAAAAAATAGGGTACAAAAACC